CGGCAAGTACTCAGATCCAAGTATCGGTATCGTATCGGTTTGAAAAAATTGGTATCGTTGCATCCCTAATTATGACAGAATCTCACAGTCCATGTTGTGACTGTACTGGACTGTCCATATGTGGATTTATCAGATTTAGCAGCTCCGATGGAAGCAGATTTGGGTGCTTCTATACCTGCCAAATGTCCGGCTGCCCTCAGGAGCAGCTGGTCGCCCGGCGAGGAAGGGGTTGCTGTGGTGTCCGCAAACATCGTGTGCGTCAGCCAGCATCCTTGTGGGTTGGGGGCTGTCTGCCAGCGCCATCAAGTTGCAGGAGGCTTGTGTTTTGGGGATCTTAAACGGTGCTGAAATCGTCTGAAAAAGAGACAAAAAAGTGAATTAACCTAAATGTAACAGCTAAAAGCATACTTCTTCACTGACGTGCGCTCACTTTAGTCGGGGAGCCAATGATCGTGGGCAGTGGGGACTTTTGAAGCCAGTCAGACGTGCGAGGGGAGGAGCCCAGCAGCTTGGTGGGGGAAGAACCGAGGTTGGCGGGACGGCCGAGCTGCGGGGAGTGACTGCAGGAGGAGGAAGGCTGCACAGGGTCGGACAGCTGCTTGTGGAGCTTCTGCCTGGTCTGGTAGACCTCGGTAAGAATGGGGGCGCTCTGAAGCCGAGCCCCCAGGAGCTGAGAGGATGGGATGGGGGAACCTGAAGACACAGTGGATTAGAACCGATGCCAGTTAATAATCATCCATGGCTCAGCATCAAGTGTAGCATTTACCCTACAACCTCCCACAGAGTCTGTGCTGCTCATTGTGTGCCTCTGCACACGGGGGACAAAGCACGAAAATCTGATTCATCATTGAGGACAGTGAGCCTTCTTCCTGGTCACCATGACAGCAAACCTCTTGACACAAAGAGGCAGAGACTCTGAAAACGGCCTGCAGTCATGGTGACTCATGCACTTTTCCAAAAATTAAGTCATGCCACTAGCAAGAGAATCAGAAGAATAGCAGTTGTTGTCAATTCTGCTTCTTTTAAATGTCAAACACATCGTTGTTGGGGAGGGTTGGACACTTTTCTGCTCTTCAGTGAATCCACAGCACCTGAAACTGCAGGGAACAGGACAATACAGAAGAGATA